TAAAAAACAGTGAATTCATGTGTTCGGTGTAGCCCACCCAATTGATGAGAATCTTGTAATGTTGACTTGTTCCTGAATCTTGTTAGTCGTAGAATTTAACAATTACAAATGATTCACGTTAAGAAATACCGTAATGGCTCACCCTTAAATAAAATCATTTACTACCCAGACCTTATTTTCGTACAGGGATTCCCTAAGCCACGCTGCTACTTGCAGCCCACCTTGTGTTCTGATGACGCCCGTTTTTGATTTGGAATCGGAGCTATCTAGCCTGGATAAATGAAGGGTTAGCTCTGAACAGGCCATATCGCAATTCGGCCATTTTCGTACGTTTTTGCGTGAATGTGGCGGCCGTTCACAGCTTTTGCTATATTTCTGATTGATGGCTGCTTCGCCACCATACGACAATCGTTGTCACGCCGCCACGATGGCCACTACGCCGGGAGGCGCAAGGGAGGGAGGCGTTTGACTAAACGTGTTTGCGGAACGTTCTTACTAGCCCACTGTGACTTCTGAAGAGCAGAAGTCATCTCCACAACAGTTTCGCCATCAGTGGTAAACGTTTTTCCCAGTCAAATGGACAGCGCCTTTGTTATGTAAAAAAAAAGCTTACAAATTATAGATATTAGTGTCATTTTTGTTGAGAAAGCGAATACCAGTTGAAACTATCCATGCACAGGAATATCCCGCTGTTGTACTGTCCTCAGGATTTGTTCAAACTACTGGGAATTATGCGCCAACTACTAGTTTGATGTAAGAGGACGTAGCTAGATATGTATGCTGCAATTAGAGAACCCTGTTTCCTCTCCCACCTACATGAAACGGGTGAAAAGAAGGGGACGGAAGAAAGAGGGGAGAAGGGGTGGAGCTATTCTGTGCAATTTACGATCTGAATGCATAAGAATGCTTTCATTGAATGCATTAAAAATAATCTTTCTCCCTGCCCCTTTCCCTCCCATACGGGTCGAGCAGCAGGATTTCACCGTGTGGCTCTCCCTCGGCACGGTCATCCCCCGTGTGTTCGACCTCGTTCTGAATCTCGGAGACAAATTTTCCGAACGCCGGACTAGTTTCAGTTTCATTTTGTACGTAATAGCATCCCTAAATCGTGTCACTCCCAAACAATTTATTTCTTTCTTTTCTAACTTTATACAGCAAAGATGATGCCTCGATGTTACCTCACTCTTCTAGAAGCGACTTCTCCACAAGTCAAGAGCGGCATTATGTAATCCTCGGTTCTCTTTAACAAGTCCCCCTAATCAATTATGTCCAGCATCAGCCGTGTTTGCTGTAGTCGTTAAAGTAGATCCTCGTCTTGATGAGTCGAGCAGTATTTCGAATAGACATGGCGACAGAGTGTGCCTACCTATATTGTCGATCCCTTTAGGAACCCCGTTTCACTATGTTTCTCTTGTTTCATTCATCCTCAACTAGTTCATATAAAAAATAAAAAGTAATCATTACCGTTTACGTTCCTTTTGTCTAGTCTCGTACGAGCGAAAATTCAATGTTTCCTTCAGATCTATGATCATGTAATACTTAAGCATTTCAATGTGGGACATAAATGAAATTTGGTGTTATCAAGTCATGATCATCTAAAAAATAAGCAACCATACTCATATATAGTCCGACAAGGTCTTGTGCAGATTCCGTGAGAGTTTTTATAGTCAGCGGTGTTATTTCTTGAATAAGTTCAGAATATAGCCAGATTTTTGGACAGTATGATCCTAAACAACCTCTACGCGGATCCGAGCTTGTCTCCTGACCTTTTCTCACCCCTCTATACTCATTTGCCGCGGATTCAAGGGTGTATTTGGAAATTGAAAGTAGAGTTGTCAAAGGATCCTCTAGTGACGACTTGGGAGTGGTGAATATGGTGCCTGCTTGTCTGCGCTCTGTCATCTTGGAGCAAAGACGCAGCGGTGCCCTGCTACAAGAGAGAGCAGACGGCTAGAGAAGCGCTGAATCACCTTCTTCAAGAGTATCCACATTCCCGATCATCTAGAGTCCAGAAAGTCTAAGGATTCATTATAGGCTAGGGAATGGTTCCTGGTGACGTATCCACTGACGCATTTTTCGCCCCGCGAAGGCGTCACCCATCGTCTATTTTCTCACCTGACCACCCTTTTCGCTTCGCATAATTTTCCTATTCACCCATTCATGTGCCCACACTTTTCGAAAATAATCTCACTAAGTAATTCTTATTCTCAGTAATCTTTTTTTTGAGAAATAGAGTAACTGCTTCTAAATATAAATGCTCTTTTATGTGGAAGCATAGGCATGTTCTGTAGGAGTTTTGAGTGTTTTGTAGATTACTTGTTGTGATCTTACTTACATTAAGTCTCGACGGGGTGCACTTACCCTTTTTGAAGCTTCCCATGTTCTGCAAATAAAAGGAATAGACGATATTTACATCGTCGCTATGCATTGTCGTCATCGGGGCTGATCTAATTCAGGAACGCCTTTCACTGCATGCAGACTTTGTGGTCTTAAAAAGTGTCAGAAATTTGTCCGCACTATATCATTGAATACGTCACATGCAATGAAAAAAAACGTTTCTTGAAAATTAAATTGAAGCCCCATTCCTTATTCGTCAACCTGTTTTGTATGGTCGTCGCGTGTATAAAATGTTGCACCTTTTCCGTTTTAAATATTACTACTTTTTCGCATGCTAAAAATGTGAATCAGTATTTTATTAAAGAAAACGCTTTGAAAACTTCTTTGAGGATCCGCATAAGTCAGGCGGGGCTCTAAAACTGGCGTAATGGAGGCCACTAAAAAATCTTGTGGGTATGGCCACAATGGAAATCGTCTTATTTAGTTGTATACCAGCTCGGTCTCACGCTCAACTATGAAGTAATTTGGTTTTTCTCAGCACACAAATAGGAATTTCTTTATTGAGTTGTGTGGAAAATCTTAACTACTACTCACTAAGACTTATCGATCTCCATTTTTCTTTCTCAAAGAGCACTTTCAATACTTGTTCTTATTCTGTAATTTTTTGTTAATTCTGTCATTCGTCAACTAACATTAGGATCATCTCATGGCAGAGAGGGACATGTGTGGTGATAAAAAGGTGCTGCATACTACTTCCATGACGTGAGATGATACTTAACTCTAGTTCTTCGGTCCGTCTCCCTCTCAGGACTAAGTTTGAAACCAAATTCGCTGGAACAGCATCGAAATATTCCTTCATTTTTTGTAAATGCTCGAAAAAGTCGACTAAGCGTGGGAAGTTCAAATTGTTCGGGGTGCTTCATTAATACCTGGTTCCACGGTTGTCGCAGGGGCAAAATAAAGGATAGAAGAAACAAGTAAGAGAGGGGCTGAAGCATAAACATTGATTCAACGTCACAGATATTACTGAAATTACTGCTCATTACTCGTGGTGCAGTGTTTTCGGGCACACTGATACATACATCATTCTTGGTACTGCTGTCCATTCATTGACGCAACACCCCTATGAAGCTGCTGAGCTTTACTGAAGCAGATAACTACATAAAATTGATTTGTTTAAGTTTTTGAACCGTTTATTACTCGAATATGGACTTCTGAAAGTATAGGTCTAACGTGATTCATACCAGTACAATCCATTTACACTGACAGTAAATTTGTTCTACTCGTTTACATTTTACTCATNTCTGAACGTTAAACAGGCTCTCATTTTCTTTTACTAAAAAATAACAAAAATTTGAATTAGAATGATATTGTGCTTTGTTCAAGACGACCGCTTGGCGCATCGGATACCGCCAGAAAACTACCTCAACGGCCAACTGCATCCAATTCCGCCGCCCGCAACATAAAGTCGTATCGTGTTCGTTTTGCTGATGAGGTAAGATTTTTTGGGATTTTTTCTTGTAGCCTTAATTTCGTTGAAAAGTTTGTAATACAGAAATGGCAAGTATTGGCTCTATGACATGCATGGCACAGTGATCAAATCCGATCAGATTGCGATTAATCGACTTCGTTTTTTTTTTTTGTAGTTGGGGTGTGGTGCAGTAGGAACGAAATGGTCGCGTGGCGACGAGAGACGCCGCGCGCGAGGGAACGAAGCAGAATGCAGCACCGAGTAAGAATTTCAGAAACAAAAGAACAAACAGTAGAATCATACCATAGTAATAATCGCATTCCCGGTGTAAAGACCTTACAAAGCGAATGAGACAATGTCGCATGGGTCTTGGATGCATGGCGTACTGTAAAGGTTTATCGGCAGTAAACAATCCATTGTTTCGAAATGCTTTTCATAATTTCAATTAATATTATTGAACGATAGGTGGACAGTGGTGCATCGACATCCAGTACATGCTCAGAACAGTCGACCAAATCCGTCAACCGATGTGTTACCGCTATTCGGCCACGACAACAGCTTTCTGCATTAGGTTAGCTACCTCGATTGTCTTCTCCTGGAGGTGGAAACTATGGAACCTCGTTTACTTCAACTTACTTATTGACTATTTATTTATTTAAATTTACTTCAACTGGCCTCAATAATTCGAGTAAAACTATTGTCACTCTAAGACTCACTCTCCATCAGTAGACTCCAAATACTTTACTCAAAAAACTTTTTTTTATTCCATCCAAGAAGTTGTTTTACATGGAAATACATTTTCAGATTAAAACAAATCCAACACTTTTGTTATGGGAAAATATCTGGATATTTGGTTGACTATTTCTGTTACGTATATACCTTCTGTACCTTCTGTATTTTACAGATACCCCTCAAACAACGTCTCCCTATGTTGCCCAAATGTCGAGACCGAACAAGACCAGCACGGCGCCTTCTACTCAAGCCTACATCAAACAACCTGAGAACTGTGTTGCTACAACACGTAAACCAGGTAAAAATTAATGATTATATGGCTATTTTTGTGCTACCTTTGTATACCTTCCATATTTTTTTACCCGGCCTAAGCTAAATTCTGTGGCCATTCGTCATGTGAATATATTGTAGTTTGACATTGGACTCTATGTGAACATAATAGTTTAATTCAGGTCATGGTGTTCATTACTCGTACTCAATTGATGATGTTGAATCGCTACCTGAACCACCATCGTATGAAGTGGCCATCAGCAGATTACGGTATGCCCACCTAGACGTTACCATTGTAGCTACACTTTCATTTTTTTTCATTTGTTTACGCACAACCTGAGGATGCTCATATTACAATTTAAGAATGGAAACTCATTAATATTACCAAATGTCTAAAAAAAACCTTACACAGTTGTAGATCGCACTTATCTAAATTGAGCTTCTTCAAATGCCCCTGATAAGGCATGGGAAATGAAAACCATGCGCGCAGCTGGTTTGATTGGTTATTATACACAGTAACCAATCAGAGCAGAGTTATTACTTGAAAAATGAGTGTAAAGTCTTTGTAAAGTCTCCTACAGTACTTTTTACATGACGCCGATCCACAATATCAGGATTATTCCTATGTACTGATTAGTATTTTTTACATGTGTCTTATTCTGTTCAGGCAATTTGAAAAACCACGGGAATCGATACGCGACTTTGTGATACGCCAAAATGTTAATGAAGCGTTGAATCGGAAACTTCGAAGTCGATCCTCGTCATTACCACGTTTGCAAACCGCCGAAATGAATGAGCTACCATACCGATCTCCACCGAGAACTCTCAACTATCAGGTTCTTTTGGAGTCCTGCTAAGTTCTTCGGCCTTTGAATCTGTTCTGCTTCCACTAAAAGAGCCTTGTGTTCAGATGGATCAAATGCGTAATCTGGCCATCGGGAGTCTAGACAATCTCAATGTTACCGTAGACTCACCTAACAAGAACACATTACGAAGGCGTCGTCTACCCGTGGCACCGCTTCTTGGCTCATTGACCAAAATCCCTGGGTCGCAACCAGAAGATCTCGAATTTATCTGTCAACCGTCTCGTCTAATGCAAAGGTTCGTTGAAATTCTACATGGCTTAAAAACCGACTGAATTACAGCTCCACACATGATAATGTCTTAACAGAGTAGTATTGACTTACTTTAGTAGTGCTTCATTCCTCCTAGTAAACGACACGCTCCTCTCTGATCTCTTCTCTAACTGAGAGTCTTTAGAGAAACCGGTTTTTTTTTATGTTCGAAGCAGTTACTATTTTTTAGACGGTCTCGGGATCCGGTCGAACTGCATCGATTTGCAAGAAGGTCATCAAGTATTGGACCCCAATGTGAAGTCCTGGAGTATGGTACCAGGTACGTTCTCATAATTCATAGTTTTTCCGATTCTCATTACTGCTTCTGCTAACTGGTAGGTTAACCAGTACGATGTTTAGACGAGAGATGCCTCCAGTTCGAGCTGTACTCGTGGCGTTGGATCAATGTGGGTTCCGAACGGTTGTAGTGGAGAAGACACAGCCAGGACCTTTCGGATTCTACATTGCAACAGGAATAATGAACGGACAGAGAGGTGAGGGCCGCTGGATAAGAAAAACATCGCTGTCGCATTGAGGACCCAATGAAATTAAGTAGTTATGGAAGAGAACTAGGAGGAAGTGCATGAACTATGTAGTAAAGTAAAGCTGTACGGGTAATCAATGTCTTCGTTTTATCAAATAGATTGATGTTTACTTGGCAAAAAGTAGATTTGAGAATCATGTTCAGTTCAATGGAACATCGTAGTAGTTTTGAATACTAACTAAAGAAATTTTCTATAGTTTTTCGAATGGATAAAGGAAGATAGTGAATTTTGCAATTGAGATTTGGGAAAATAGGAGATTCAGTAATACTCCTACAATTTCGCGTCGATATGAGTTCCTAGGAATAATTGCAACCAGCTGCTCTATACCTTTTCAAAGGAAAAAGACATAATAAAGGAACAAAATTAAAATTTAGTTCATTTATTATGCCCTCCTTTATTATAAGAGAGTACAATTTCACTAAAAGCAGAATTGAACATCGACTATAATACGTTCCTTTAGGAATTTTTATCTCTCGAGTGTCGATCGCTTCGTTGTCCCCCATGCTAAGCGTGGGCGATGAAATCCTCTACGTTGATGATCAGCTTGTCAAAGGGAGGAGTTTGGAGACTGTACAAGCACTGATTGCTGGCAAAACTAAAGTGCTAATCGTCCTGCATCCAGCTATTGGCAAATACATTTATTGATTAATTTTATTAAATTATCAACGAGTGAAAGGCTGCGATTTGTTAGAAGTAGAAAGAAATAATGCGCTTCCTGACATTCACTTTTTTGAGAATTTTGTTGAAAGGGTGAAACCCAACAAGCTTCTCAGACTAAAACGCTAACTTCAGTTACAGTTACAGTTTCTCGGGAACAAACTTCACCATCGTTGGAGGCTACCACGAATAGTAAACCTGGTGATGTCGTTTTACTCTCCTCCTCTCGAGCAGATCGGAAATAGTAAAACAGGGCCAGCCTTCTGTAATGGTCATTTTTTATGAAAAAGGTAAACAAGAAAATAGCATCCTGATTGACCTCTTGGCCTTTGACCTTGTCTCGGGCTCCCTCAGTTACCTTGCCTGATCAGGAAAACGCAATATTTCGGTGGTGAAAATGTTGATTCTTTGAGTGACTACTGTAACTTCGACACTGATCTAAACGATGGGTTTCACTTTTAGAATTCGTGTAGGAATCAATATCATTTGAATATCGAGTTTTTGTTTTTGTACGCTCAACCAGTATAATGTCCTATAAGATTTGATAATTCAATATACATAGATAATTGAGGTAACGATAGCCTTATACTTATCGTATCTCTAGCATAGAATATACAGTCGGTCAGACTGACGGTTGTACCCACACTTCACTTCTATTGCCGGTATCTGACATTTATTAATATTCAGTTGTCATTTCATTGCATTGATAAATATTGATTGAATATTACTCTTTGTACTATTTAGTTATCGTCCAAGTAACGTGTAAAAAATACCTGGAACCTTCGAGGCGAATTTGCATTCTACAATTTAACTGTCGGCAATGCGTTACTATGAAAGAACTTTGCTACCACTAAGTTTATCATCAGATAAGAATTGCAAAGAGCAAGTCTCATCATATATTCGCATGATTCAATGAGATTTTTCAAAGCTCAGAAATCCCACGGACGTAAAAAAAAACGTGATTCCTATGATATTTCTAGCTACTTTTAAATACATTACCTCTGAACGTGGTTTACTACTTTCATGAACCTTCAAGCCTTTGTTCATGAGTTCTCTCGTGGGTGTTGGTATATTTGATGTAGCATTGCTACTGTTTTGCTGGATTTACCAGGCATACGAGTAGTAGGAACGGTTTTGCGCAATCGATCCGCCTCACGCTGCTGTCGCGGACCATTTGCTTCGTTAAAACAGTTCTAGCGTTCTTCATGCAGCTCAATCGCTATGCAATTATTACTGATGGCATGATTCTACTGTTAGTTCTTTTATTCCCTATTTTTTACTTGCTGCTGCATTCTGCTACATTCCTTTGCGCGCGCCGTCTATCCCGCCGCCGCGCGACGATTTCGTTCCTACTGCACCGCATCCGATTTACCATCTATCTTCTCTTGCTAAGGTACAGCTTCTTTGAACTATTATTGGCACTTTTCTTTCCATCCTAACTACCTCTCCGGGTTTGGACCGAATGAAGTTAGAAATCAGACTGATACGGTACAAGACAGGAGATCCGTTTTTTTTTCTATCTTTGGCGTGGTCTCATGTTTTCCAGTTATTTTGTTTCTTTCGCAATCTTTATCGTGGGTACTGTAATTCTGGCATCATAGCTTATGCTATCCAGCATGTTTGAACAGTTTCTGCAAACAAAATGACAAGACAAACGGACACTGATTGACTGACAAGCTGACATAACAGAAAAAAGTCGACAAGAAGAGCTGTCTATTCAGCTTCCCAAATACAAAGTTCCATTACAATTGGAACACAAACTTTTCGACCTCTGGTCTTATTTATTAAGAAGTATACAATATGCCACCGTGTAGGATTATGACGCCAGACCCTTGGTTGACTCATTGTTGCGTGACCGGGGATCTCACTGTTAACAGTGTCACCATACCACTCTGATTTGCTTATGTACAAAACAAACAATCAATAAATGAGTCAATACACTGCCATAGAACCCTAAACTGACCGAATTAAAGCTAGAAAAAAATAATGAATAGATGAGAACGGATCGAATCCACGTGGTGGTGGGAAGAGGGGGGGGGGGGGCGTTGTCAGGGACCTCATCTCCTTAACTTTTCCATTTCCCTAGAAGAAACAAATGCTCTTCATGTCGAAAGCCCTAAAATCCTGTATAAATAAAATATTTGATTGTTTGACTAGGACGGCTTACAGTGCAGAAAGAAATGCCTCAAAACCGTTGATTAAACACCAAGATTAGTTTCGCAATGACGAACTTTTCGGAGGAAAATTAAGCTTTCACAGGCGGGCACAGATCTTCCTTTGCTGCTTCATAGCTGAGCTGAAAGATGGTCTTCTCGGTAGCACGTGAGAATTTCAAGCGTTTAGAAAATATTGCAAATCCGGTTGGATGGGAAGGAACTCGCCTAGATGAGCCTCGACCTGGACCTTCGATCCCTGGACCATGCATACAGCAGTAGGTCCACTTCTCTTTGGGGGAATTCCGCCTACAATGGCTACATTTTATGCTAAATTTATCCCGAGTATAAACGGACTGGACTGGTTATCCATAAATTTGTCGCCTCCAAATGTCATTTGAAATTCCGAAAAGCCCCTGTCTCAATGCTAAAATTCATTCGTATTTCTGGTTCTAAGTAAGTCAGTACTATCAATCTAAGCAAATAGCAAGTCCATGTTATTCCAGGAACATCTTTTCTTGATTTCGAACTAATTGAAGTCCGTTTTTTATTCGAGAAGGTTGCCATATTTCCAGATCCAAAATTACGAGGGCCTATTAATCGATTGGGTCCTCACGTAGATCTTATCGAATCACATTTTATGGGAAGAGACCTACAGAAAAATTTATGCTCTTGAAAAAGAGATTCAAATCTAAGTACTCCATCTCAGGTACTGGAACTTGATGCTGCTTGATTTGTACTGTCTAAGAAGTAGTAGTTGTCTAATGTTTGTGTTGAGTTGAGGAATTAGTACGCAATTAGGGCCAGTTGCACGCAACTTAGCCATCAAACAGGCAGTCAAGGTGTTGAATTCCGGACTGGACCCTGGCCAACTTAGTAATCTATGTAAGACCATTTTCTTGGTAATACTTAATCAATTTTTAAGGGGCATAAGCGGGCATTTGATGAATCCTAAATATGCTATTCGTAGGATGACGGTGGATATCTGGATATTTCTCAAAGTCCATTTATCTAGGAGTTGTGGCTCAATGGATATATCCATGAGCTTATGAAAGTAACAGTACCTAGCCATACAGTAAACACATAAACAGCTTGGAGCTATTCCAATCATTCCGGGGTGATGCTTATGCAAGTTATTCTGCTCAACAATAACACAAGCTTCCTTTCGTACAAATAGCACGAGGATAGATATGCCATTAGGTTCGTGATTAGAAAAGCAGGTGAAAAGGTACCTGGGATTTTTTCAAAGCTGATCTATGTTAAATGAGCCCAGATCGGTCAGTCTATCAAATAGTCATTCGAAGGCGAAGCATTTTTGTAGTTACAACTTGAATGAACATAATTAAATGCCAGATATGTAGATGACTTTCTAAATGATTGTGAGCAATATGGAAGATGAGGTCCCGTTCGGAATAAGGAACTACCGAAGAGCTATATCGCAAGCAGATCGATAGATTCCCCATCGATGGCAAAGAGCACCCGCGGACCTCATCCTGCCCGCACCTTTAGGCAATCTAAAGATCAAGGGATGAACATTTCTCAGGCGTGGTGCGTTAGGAACGAAATGGTCGCGTCGCGGTGAGAGGGGCGTCGCGCGCGAAAGAATGTAGCAGGATGCAGCAGTAGGTAAGAAATACAAGAACAAAAGTACTAATAGTAGAACTATGCATAAAATAATGATCGCATATCGATTAAGCTGTATGAAGAACGCTAGAGCTGTAATAAAGGCGAGTGNATAAAGGCGAGTGAGTGGTCCGCGACAGCCGCGTGCGGCAAATCGATTACCCAAAATCGTTCCTAACGCCCGTCTCCCACATTTCTCGGAATTTCACCATAAATATTGTTCAAATTAGGAGACTCTTGAAGCTGATTCCAACTATGTGAGTAATTTTCAGAATTGTCAAATTTGAAAGAAGAGATGGAATAACTCATTTCATTTAGTACTGGTACTATATATTGGAAAGCAGTATTAAAAATATTCTTCAGAAATGTCTAATTTGTTAGAAAACCTTCTACAAAAGCTTTGTCCGTATTTTTTGCCGATCCCTCGGTTTCGCTTTTGCGACGCTTATTTTTTCCATGCACCGATTGTGGGGATCAAAGAAGGTTGACCTGCAGGCGATCTAATGATCAAGAGCGAGGCGTTTTTTATGATTTTACCACAACTTTCATATTCCAGTAGTACTTTTGACGCTGATTCTAAATATTCAGATTATTTTTGTAATTGTCAATTTTCAATGGAAAAAATGGAATAACTCCTTTCACACAGCACCGTATGGGAAATGATTTTTATGTTCGAAATCAATATGAAAAGCTCTTCACAGTTATGTATAGTTTGTTTAGGAATGACTCAAAAAATTTCCGTTGTATTCTTTTGCCAAAACTCAGTTCCCTCGCGCCGTTCTTTTTTTTTTAATCGATGGCATCGATGGCGTAGATCAGCGGAGCTTATTCTACCCACGCGCCTTCACGTGATCTGAAGATCAAATGCAACTCATTTATCGGAGTTTTACCACAAACTACATGTACATAAGTAGTAGGCATGACGCTGATTCCGAATGTGGCGATCGTTTTCAGAATTGTCAGTTTTGAGAGAAGAAATTTTGAGAAATTGATAACTTCTTCCAAAACAACATGGACTTTGTACTGCGTTTTCAAAATGAATTTGAAGAGCCCTAATAGACGTAAGCAATTATTGAGAAATCCCAATTTTCTTCTATTTTTCTTTTTTGTAAATCCTTCGGTTCACTTTGATGACCCTTTCTTTCCATGCATCGATGGCGGAGATCACTCTGCCCACTTGCGCCTTCAGTGAGCACTGGCTATTTATGAAAT